GGCCTCCCCGCGGCCCCCCAGCCCCATGGGAAAGGGGCTTCGGCTGCGCTCCTGCTCCCACCTTGGTCCCGCACTGCCACCTTGGAATGGCAGTAGAATCGTGGAATATCCGCAGCTGGGAGGGACCCACGAGGATCGAGGCCAGCTCCTGGCCCTGCACAGGACACCCCAGCAATCCCACTGTATTCCTGAGAGCATTGTGCAAATGCTCCTTGGGCCGGGCCCTGTTCCTGTGCCTTCTTGCCCGGCTCCAAGAGCTCGGTGGGGGCTGATTCCTGGGGAAAGGGCAGCTGGGTGGATGAAGCAAGCCCTGTGCTGGCAGGATTGGGCAAGCTCGGATCCTTAGGCTGCGGCTCAATGTGGAACACAAGCAGGTTTCCACCCTGTGAGGCCCGCAAACGGCCCCACAAGAGCAGGGCAAAGGACAGGGTGTCACAGAAACCAGCCTGGCTTGGGGCTGCAGGAACTGCAGGGAATATTTCCTGAACAACCCAGCTTGACCCTCCCCAAGCCAGCATGGCCTCTGGTGCACCAGGTTCTGCTCCCAGACAGAGTGTGCCTGGCGTTGTTTACTCATTTCTTTAATCTCCTGTTGTTTATTTATTTATTTACCCCATTATGCCCCCATCCCAGACCTGTCACTGAGTGAGTGCTGGGGTGGTGTGCTGGGGGCAGGACATGCTCTGGGCATTGGGGGACCGCCCCACTCCTGCTGGCTGCTCAGGAATCCAGCAGCTGGGAGCAGGAGCGTGGGGACCGTCCGGGCTGTGGTGACCTGCTGGCATTGCCTTACATGGCTGCATCCCCAGGACACGGCCAGCTGCAGGGCACTGGGGCGTGCTGTGGGACTGCCAGCAGAACCTCCATTGTGCCAGTGAGCTGATGGCACGTCTGTGCTTCGTGTCCAGCTCTGTAGTGCCAGGTCCCTTCCTGCTCAGTCCCAAATACCACCTTGTGCTCTCCTGCCACAGGGCCCACTACTCCCCAGATGACTGATGGAGATCATTGAATCCTAGAACACCCTGAGTTGGAGGAAACCCACAAGGGCCACGGAGTCCAGCTCCTGGCCCTGCCCAGACACCCCAACAATCCCACCCTCTGCCTGAGAGCGTTGTCCAAAGGCTCCTGGAGCTCTGGCAGCCTTGGGGCCGTGCCCATTCCCTGGGGAGCCTGGGCAGTGCCCAGCACCCTCGGGGGGAAGAACATTTTCCTAAAATCCAACGTTAGAAGGCACCGTGTCCCTGGTCACCGCAGAGGTCCCTGGCAGTGTCCCTCCGCGCTGAGCTGGGGGGCATGAGGGGCACACACCCCTTGCTGACCTGGGGGGCATGAGGGGCACAGGGCACCCCCGCTGGCACCTCAGTCCGTGCCGTGCCACAACGCCCACCGAGCACAGGAGAT